GTGTGTGTGTGTGTGTGCGTGTGTGTGCTGTACCACCCCGACGTAATTATAGGCTGACTGGGATTCTAAATTACTGGATACATTCAGTTTGCACTTTCTAAGTAAAGTACAGCCTGAGAGCTTCTCTGCAGAAACCTCAAGCTCAAACTCACATTCACAGTCTCAGAAGGTTAAACGGTGAAACAATTGGAACTTGATAGATGTAGTTAGTTACGGGGTCAGAGTATTTCCTGTGATTGTGGAAAATCAACAGTGTTTCCCCCACATGCGTTTAGCTAATCTTAATAACAACAAGCACAGATATATTCCTAGATATATAAACATGAAGTCGATAATGCAGCTGACCTTGATGAATTGCGCGTTGTGATTACATGCGTGTTTATTTGAGTGTACACTCACACACAAACACACACACACACGCCCTAGGCCAACCCCACACACACCCTCACACAGAGCGAAACAGACTTTAACAAGGAACTAGGTATGGACATCATGCCGGGGCGGCACGGGGCACTCGCAAAACTTTTAAGACTGACCAATTAACAATGGATCTGTATTTACTGAATATACTGAGGTGTTATAGATTTCTAATACTTGAGTACCTGATTGGAAATAGAGAGTATAAATAATGTGTCAGGAAAGAATAAATAAATGTGTTAATTTATTTATTTAAAAGCTGGATAGTTTTATTTTTTGACAGTTTTCTAAAAGTGTGCTGGTGTGAAATAAATAGTAACTCTTAATTTGTGTGTGTGTGTTGCAGCGAGGAGAGTCCTGTATCTCTGGAGAAACTCTCTCTTTCAGATCCTCCTAAAACACCAGAGCAGCAGCCTGCTGACGAGTCACCTGTACACACAAAGACTGACAGGAAGTAAGTATCCACCCGTCAGATCACTGATGCTGAACTTCACTCTAAAAACAATTCTGGAGAAATGTCATGAATAATGGACATTAAGAAGAAAAGAGTTAAAAAAGTTCAATCTAAACTTCAACACCTGTACACACATATGGTACTAACAATATGTTCGGTGTCCTTACACACGGAGAGACAGGTTTATGGGACGTGTGTGAGGAGAAAATGGACGTCACAGACAAAACCCAACAATTGAGTATAAATCTGAAAATACTCATCGCATTGCAAAATTGTGTTAAAGCAGCTCTATGGCTGAAATGCTATGTGATATTATTTACTTCTTTGGTCACAGTGATGACATCACGTTGAGCTTTAGGACGTTGTGAGGGCTACATCTTACTAGTTTCTAATCCAGGGGTTTCTACAGGGTCATAGAAAGTCTGAAATTCATTCACCTAAATTTAAGACCGTAAAATGTGAAATAAATGATGAAGTCAAATGTAACATTATTTTGTGTAGCCCATATTCAGAAATCACAACGAGCGACATCCTCTGCCCTTAACCCTCAACAACAGTAACATAAAACTAAGCTCTGAAACATTTAGGATTTTATTTCTACAGACCCGTTGGGGGGGAATGTTTCCCTGTAGACAAACCCACATAGGCTAGACCTAGTCTTGACTGTTTCCTCTTACGTCCAAACAGAGAGGAGACGCCACCTCCTCAAGAAGTGTCGGTCAACGGACCCGTCTGATCATCACCCGACGCAGAAACCCGACCGTGACGGTGCTGCGGACTGTCGGCCTCCTCCAGAGTGACTCCCCTAAATAACCTCACTGCAACTATGGTGTTTTTACTGAATCACTCTGCCACGTTATTGGACCTGGACACTGCCAATCAACACCAATAATGAGGCGGCGGAACATGTAAAAAAAAAAAAAAAATCTATATGTATGAAAAATAAGAAAAAGAAAACCCAGACCCAACGGAGCGTAGAGGAATCATCTTCGAAGCCTTCTTTCTGATGTTGCACATGATTACGTGCGGTTTAAATGTAGCAGCGATCTTTGAAAACGACAGGTCCGAGGGGTAAACATCGTCATCGTTATTTTTTTATGTCCTGAAAGATTTCTCTCTCCTACCTGTTGGACGCCCGTCGTTAGGGATTTTACATGGTCACCCCGGAACGGATAGCACAGGCTAACTTTTAACGATGCCTCAACAATAAATACCTGTTTTTCAAACCTTTTTTTTTTTTTTTCCTTCGAGCTTCAGAAAAAGCACTTATGCAGCCATTTACTGTACATGATAGCACAATGTAAGTGTTCTCCCCTCATCTCTGCTGGCCGTCTTATCTGCCGCCCCCCACGTCAAGCTTTTTTTTTTTTCTCTCTCTCTCTTTGGTTGCCGATGATGGAACATCTCTCGTCGCCGTTCATCACCAGGTGTCTGAATGTTTTGAAGTGCTTCAGGAGGGTCCGTCGAGGAGGAGGGGCGGGTCAATGAACAGAGTTCTAATAGTATTACTGTCTTTTGCTCATGTGCAATAATGTCAATTAGCCATTTTATTTAAAAATGAAAATCCGTTTTTTTTTTTTTTAAAGAATCGACTTAGTATTGGAGACCCATTTGGTGTAGTTTTGAGCAAACATTTGGATTTAATCTCTGATTTTTAAATTACATTTTCTGTAGTTTTTTTTTGTAGTGCATGTATAACTGGTTCTCTGTTGACCTAGCTAGTGAGCTAAGACCTTCTGATTGTATTGACCTTTAAGTTCTTATTACTATCCCCCTTAAATCAACCAAACATTATCTACCTATATACAAATATTATCTACATTTAAAAGTAATTTTACAAGCAATCTTGAGATTACTATTGTTGTCTGTTCCTTTTTTTTTTTTTTCTCCCTCTCTCCACCGAGCACTTACACACAGAGCGAGAGTGGCATCTGATCAGAGTGATGCTGTATGGGTTCTTTTTTTTCTTTTTGAAAGTTTAATTTTATTTCTCTCTGAGAAGCAGGATTGGAAAGAGGGCCGGTCTGCTGGGTTCTGTTGAGCTCCAGGCCTCTTTGGTGTACTTAATTCAATCATTTGACAGCGATCAGGTTCTCCGATCATTGTTAAGAAAACAAATTGAAATTAAAAGTGTCTGGTTGACCACATTAATACCAAAGGTTTGGCGTTTACCCGTCTGGTTGTTGTCTTTCCATCTCTGCAAACATGAAGCCGCCTGTTGATGAGACGTGGACGTTAAACTCTTCACCCCCCCCCCTGCTGGCGTTGTCACTTCTGGTTGATCAGGTTACTTCAGGTCACAGTGCAGCGACGAGACTGAGCGCGGGTGTCGTTTGTTCTCTCCACCTACAGGCGCAACAGAGCTGTCAGGAGAGTGAGGGGAGATGTCTGTCAGACTCAGTGTACACTAGTGAGAGGAGGTCAGAGGTCAGCTGCAGCAGCAGAGGCTGGTAGGAACTCACCTACAGAGCGGAAGCACACTGATGATGTCACGGAGCCTCTATAGGTGGTTTAAAGGTGGTATCAGCTCTCAGACTACAAACTCAGAAAGTTCCATCACTGATCATTTACTCAGGTGTTGTGTTGATCCAAGTCCCAGCCAACTGTTCATTTCAGCCACAATTAAAAGAAAAACTTGATACGGTATCAATTCCAGTTCAAGCTGCCATTGTTTAAATGTCTGTGTCAGTACATCCATCCCATTCTTGTGATATCACAAGAACTCAAGGTCAAAGGTCACTGTGGCCTTACAAACAAGGTTTTTGTCTCGTGAACGCAGCATCTTAGGGATTTCTTCAAATCTGCAGTCAAACATAAAGTGATTCGAATTTGGAGACAGTGTGATCTCACAGATCTTACCTCACAAACCCGTCGTCTTCAGAACGTCTTGAGCGAATCCTTTTTAATGTGTCAAAAGTGTTAACGTCAGGCTAAAGGTAACGGGGACCTCACTCTGCAGGCTGAAGCTGTTCTGGTTGACAGAGGCAAACAACCACAGGGCAGTAACTCCAGTTTTACAGGCGACTAAAATAGAAGATGTTAATAACAGAATCCTAATTAAGAGCTGAAGATACTTAAGCCTTCCAACAGTCATGATGTGCAGTATACACTCACTGTAAGTAATGACACACAATATACACAAACAGCTGACTCATGTCTGAATCCTGCAGTGACACATTTTAAACCTTTGTCTGAATTTCTATTCTTACAAAAGAATCAACATGAACAAAACACAGTTGGACATTTAAACCCACGGTTTTTATTTGGATCCTAAAAACTATATTGACATGATTGACAACATAACCCGGCTCAGAATGTCATTTCTAATAAAAAAACAAAAATAAATAAAAAAAGGATTATGTCATATTGCTGTGGTTAATTTAGCTGTTGACTTGTTACCATGGAGAGATGAGTAAACGAGAGTGAAAAAGATGAGCTGGGTCTGACTGGATGTAGACGACAGTCAAAACATGACGTCTTCACACAAGCTGGTTCTGGCTGCTGCGCCCTGGTCGCTCTGGTCCATCTGCAAAATCATTCTAAGATAAAATGATTATGATGATGCTGCGGCAGACTGTTTACAGGCCATCTGTGGCTGTAGATGTTAAACTCCACACAGATACTTGAGCGAAAGATCTGGGTTTTAACAGCTTGCTCATGAATAAAATATATCAGACAGGTAAGATGAGGGGATGGTTACTGGAACAGATTTCTGGCCCCGAACAAGCAAATCAAATGGATAAATTATTCAAGGAGCAGGTTTAGCAGCATTTTTGGGAAACTTTACTGAGCAAAGTGATCCTTTACTTATCAATTAAAACCGTTTCATCATTTTCAAGCACAAAAGACAAGAAATAATCCAGATACAGTTTGTTAAACTTGATTACATGGTGGATTTCTTTGTCTTAGATGACAGTGAATTGAGTATTTGTTCATTCGCATTGTCTCCTGAACTGTTAGAGAAGAAACTGATAAATTGAGACAGTAAATGTTGGCTGCAGCTCTAGTGTTAGAGGCGACTGAGGGCAGTGAAACACACTTTCTCCCTTTTTAATGATCATATTGACAGAATCTCCCAAAACCAAATGAATGAATCTGTACTTTTGGCATCTTTGATTCAAATCTTGAACGATGACTTCAACCTGACATACAGTTACACGTGCAGCTCATTTCAGCAGCCTGACCCGTTACAGTGTTAAACTGACAGCAGGTCAGTTTTACAGAACCCGGCGGTGGTCAGACCCGTGTCATCTACACCCAGAGTTCCCATCGCTGTGAGAGAGCAACACAGTCAAATCCAACCAGCCTTTAAAAACCACCCCAGAGACTTTCTCTCACACACCATCTCCACTCCTGCACTGACGTTGGTAGTGAGCAAGGACAACCGTGTTTAAAAAAAATAATACGATGAGGATTTACTTGTACATTATCTAAAAAAAAA